CGTCAACTCCCTCTCGGTCCCCATCTCCTTTCCTTTTGTCACTTAACGTGATTCCTTTACCCCGTCCTTTCTTCTGACATGCTCTTTCTTCTCCTCTTTCTGTACAGAAATCACAAATGCTGCTTTTTTTTCCTTTTCTCTTCAGGATTTGGGTGCCGGCGTAACGTACCTAAGGAGGTGATAAGCACATTGTCAAACCCATTTAGTAGGCCCCCCAGATGTGAAGGCTCCATCTAGTGGTGGGGAGCACCTAGAGAAGCACTAAGTGCTCATACTGTCAATTGGCTATATATTCCTGAACATAATTGGGATTACGATCTGTTTTAACTTTTAAGAAACAATTATGGATGCAGAGGGACAGTGTTGCGTAGGGAAAAAAAACACTAGATCACAGGTTTTTTCCTTCATTTTCAAGTTTTTTTTTTTTTTTAATACTTGATCACAGTTTTGTCCAGGAGGCAGTTCGGAATGCGCAAGAAAAGCAAAAACAGCAGTAATGCTGCAGTATTGTTTTTCTGCCTTTTCTTAATCCAGGACCTCTGCATATGACGGCCTGCCCTTGTCTTCACCACAAATGTTGTGAAGTCCGAACTTCACTGAGTCTCCCTGTGCGACTTCCTGATTGGAGTGGGAGTGGGAAAAACGGGTGCGCCAATGATTTCAGGTAGATAGGGGGCGTTTGAGTCTCAGGTCAAAGTCGAGATCTCCCATGCCGGAGTTCCAAGGACAGGGTAGAAAGGGGTCCAAACTACCTAACTAATCTAAAAATTGCGTTCAACTTGCTGAAGGGTGTGACAGGTATGGAAACGTCTCTCAGCTCGAAAAACAGCTCCAGGTGCCGAAAAGGCGTCTCTGAGGCTCGGATCGTCGTAGTCTCTTCCGAGTCGTAAGGGTTCTAGCCTCTAGGACGTACCGAGCGTCTAGCTGGGCCACTAGCTGGGCCGTCACATGGCGCCTACCATGACGGAACTCATAGAGCTCGAAATCGGGCATGGTGTCACACTTTTCCCAATCAAACCACTTCCGGCAATCCGAAAGACAACAGGCTGTCAAGCAGGATTTTGAATGTATTTTTCAATAAATAAATAAATTAAATCATGCAAACACCTTCCTGTTGGCTGCGTTCGGCTTTGAGCGAGACCCTTAAATCACGGTCCACGCCGATCCCGGGTCTTAGGAAACTTTGATTGTGATTCGGAACAACAAATGCAATTGTTCTATTAATATATTAAAATAAAATGAATAGCGCATCATGATTATCAAATTTTAGAAATTTTGAGAGTTGTGACAAAATCAGCAAAGAGCACAACATCAAACAATGTCAAAAATTGAATGAAAAAAAATCGAGACTGACTTCACCCCAGGGAAAGACAAAATGAATGAGGGAAGTATTGACAATGTTTTAACCCTCATATTGACTTTACTATTTGCATTGAGTCATGATTCTCTTGAATTTTGCGGTCGCTAGCTGTGTCTAATCTCTTCATGCGTGAGGTATATCCTGGAATGAAGAAGGAGATTGACATTAGTTGATCAAGATTATATATCCATCTCAAACCACCTCCTAGTTTCCAAAAGCAAAACCAGTGATTAGCATAAGGTCCATCAGCAGATTCAACAATATTAGAATTTTTTTTATTAAGGTATTTCACTACACTTGCCTCTTTTGTTTTGGGCATATTTAGTTGCTGTATCATTCAAAGGGATATGATCTACTGTCCCGATCTTTGCAATTTTAATCATATCCACATTTAGTCGCTATCTCTCTTCATCATGAAAGGAAAAGGCTACGTTGCATAGAGTACACGTACGGGGGCTTCCCGTACGAAACGTATAGGTTATTTCTGTACGGTATCTGTACGGGAACCTGTACGGGACCCTGTACGTCTTGTACGCCCCCGTACGAAAAAGCAAAAAAAAAAAAAAAGAAGTCATCAAAAAAATCCGAAAAAAAACTATGTGATGAAACAACAGAAAACAAGCAACATTTGGCTGAGCATCATCTTCAGATTCTTATTAGAATTTGATAAAAAAAAAAAAAACAAAACAAAATTAAATAAAAAAAAAAAAAAAAAAAAAAAACTCGTACGGGGCCCCTATCGTACGAGTAGCGTACGAGTACAAAAGTACGAGCCCGTACTTGTACGAGGATGCGTACAAGTGGCAACGCAGGGAAAAGGCACCAGAGAATTTCTGATACACCTTGAAGCAGTGCCGTCATATGCAGAGGTCCTGGACAGTCTCCCTGTACCACCTTGAAGCAGTGCCGTCATATGCAGAGGTCCTAGACAGTCTCCCGGTCATTTGGCCCTGCACCTGTGAACGGCCGTTCACAGTGAACGGGCAGGTCACGAGAGAGCGGTGTTTTTTTTTTTTTTTTTTTCAAGATCACCCAACTATATTCGCCTCGAGCCCCACAACGTGATGACATTAAAGAAAAAGAAAAAAAACATCGAAATAACCTACAAAATAACAAACAAAAACGTTTATTTCGGCTGGTTGTTTATTTTTTCTCGTTTTTAATTAAAAAAAATATTATTCATTAAAAAATAAAAATAAAAAATTATAAGGGGTTACCCTCTGACTATGTATCACCCGCGGTCGTGACCGCAGGCCATTTGACCGCACGCGGTCGGCATCCCGACCACAGCGGGCGGCGCCCGTGACCAAGTGCAGTCGGAAAACCCCGACATTTTTAAATCCTGGGATAATAGGCCAAAAAATAAAATAAAAATATGGGGTTGTAGGTTTTTGTGCGCTCTACAACCGTACTATTTTTGTTTTATTTCTTAACTTTTTTTTCGATTAAAAAAATAAAAAATAAAAAACAGAAATCCCTCAGGCAAAAGTTGTGATGAAAGTGGCAAACGTAGATCAGATGACCAAACGCAGAAACGTAGATCAGATGATCAAACGCAGACACGTACAAATAGTCCGAAATGTGGAAACATGCAAAACCAATTATAAAGTATAGTAATCGAATACAACTCCGGCGGGTTGGCACCCTGACCGGTTTCGACAGCCGCCACGTTGTCTCATCAGGGGGAACCGTCCATCATCTCCCTAGACTTCTCGTCAACTTCCACAAACCCACCTCCGTACGTAAACGCCGCTGCATAGCGGATATTACGACGTTGGACCCGAAAAAGCCGGAACAGACCAAAGGCGTATTCACAATTACTATTTATCTACCAAACGGTACTTAAAATAGACCACAAAAAAAGTTCACTTCCTCCTACTTACAACTTGCATGTACCCATCTGAAAAAGAGAGGTTCTATACCAAAAGTCTAACAAAATATTATCGAAGGTCCAAACTACACTGGGTAAGACTGAGTTCCGACAATCCCATCCTGCGAGGGTCATTATTACCATCCCCCGTCGGGGGCGAAAAGCCACACCGAAGGCCCAAACAGCATACGGACACAAAACAGTCTGTATGCCCCTGCCTTAAAAACAGACATATAGTGATACCCAGGCTTCGAAACATCATACACAAAACAGTCCCACACGGAAACACTACAGCCCTGTCCCTACAGCCCAATCAGACTAGCAACGATACTCATGCGTCTAAAATCCGTACTCAAACCTTGATCTACACAATCCATCCGATCCTGTGTGGCCCTGATCTTGCAACCAATATCCAAAAAAACAGAAACCAAATGTGCGAAAAACATATGAAACTATTCAAACATCCTATGCCTACCAATGTTGATTATGCCAATACCTGCGTATGATTCCAAGGAAACACCAGCCGAGCATGCCTAAAAACAACACAACTCATCAAACACATATAAAAAAAGTAAGAAAAACTACATCACTCGCTAAACAACCAATCATATGTCCATGCCCATATCGAATCACGTCCCACAGCGAATCTTTTCAACACCCGGCGGAGAGAAGAACCCGGGAAGTCTTTCGGTCTGAGTTCACGTTGCAGGCTCAGTACCCTTGATGAGATTGCTGATTGCACATTCGTGTTCCTCAGTATACGGTGCAAACAGCTCGCAATCGCTGCACTTTTCTGTGTCTTGCTACCCCAAGAATGATATTTTTGTCCATTCTTGTACTCCAATCGCTCGTCGTCCCACATGGCGGCTTCGTTCTTAGTTGACTGGACGCAGTGCAGGTACAAGTTCAGGACATCAATAGACATACAGGTGCCCAAAAAATCCCATGCGCCTTCCTAGTGATCAGTCCTTTTTAACGTCAAACCCTCTGGGTAACATGTTTCGAACAGACCTTGAATCATCTCAACCGGTGCTGTCTTCCTATGCTTCTCCACAATCACCAAACTGGCATCGTCCATCAGACGAAAACCAAAAACATAGCGGCGCCAACCCCCCAAGCTGTTAAGGAAATTACATTCTGCAAACGCACACATAATACAAGCGAGGGGTGGGCTGGTGCTTTTGCCCATTGGTATCCCCACTACTTGTCTCAACAGCACATCAGTGGCTCGCATGAATGTATGCTCCAAGTCCCATCGGACAAACTTGCGAATATCGACCAATGCCAACTTCCTCCACGATTCCTCCCCAGCTGTTGCTCCGAAGGTACAGCCTTTACCCCTGGTATTAACACACACCCAAGTCCTCCCTTTCCTCTCATGATGGTCGATGACCCAGTCGACAGCGGCCACGATATCCTTGTGCTGGAGCTTGGTAAACATGTCCTTAATATTGTAGGACCTGGATACCAAATCAAAATCGCCCGTTGCCGACTTGACAATCCTTCGATTGCACTGATCCAATCTCGACACCAAATCCCCAACCGATTTCAAGTTGAAGTTACTCTCAGCGGGCATCGTTGCCAACAGGTAATTGATACCTTTGGCTACCGCACGACATGTCCGAACCGTAGGTTCAGAAAAAGCCGGGCAGATAGGCCTAAAACGCGACAGATCTTTGTGCTTAGGCATGATATATGCCTCACCCACCTTACCTTTCCCATCCCAACGAACAAACTTCTGTAAATCCAACTCCTTCGCTCGAGCTCGCATGATCTGGTGCACTTCAGCCTCTGATTCCTTCACGATAGTGTATCCTACCGCTGTAACAAACATCCCCATCATGGCTTCATATTATCAAGTTCGTTATACGAAGCTGGACACATGACTAAAGTCTCCCCTGGATTAGGATCAACCGGGGTCATTACCAAACCATCCAGTACAAACTTAACCTTCTCCACTTCCAACGGGTTCAGGAATTTTTTCCTTTCTCCCGTACTACCATTCATACAATTGGACAGCTCCGAATCCCAACACGACACGTCCGGTCCAGTCCTGTTACGCCAATCCGCGAACCCCGCTGCTATTTCCCTTCCTAGCTGTTTCATCCTACTTGAAACACAGCTTAGAAACATTCAAAGCATGACAAATCATAGGATTGATCCCCTGCAATTCCTGCAGACGAAACTGCACATGGCCACCTACCTGTAGGTAGGGCAACCCTGCGAAAACGCAGGTTGATACCTCAGCTCTCGCAAAACGTCGCTGATTGTGTATCATTTTCGCGATTGAAGGGTTTTTTACCCAAACAATCCGGATCATGCCCCGTGCAACATCTTTCAGACAAGACGGAATGGTCAACGCCTCAATCTTATCATTGACCAGCTTGCGAACCTCCACCAGTCGGATCCGGTCATCGTACTTCAACCGTATGATCAGCTTTGCGTTCATGCTCCATCCATAAGCTTCCTTGATTGCTTGAACGACAAAACATCGCAGGTAGGCTGCTGAAGATGCTTTGTGGAAATCGCCCGCAACCTTGCTCAGTTGTAGTAAAACTTCCAGACTACATGCCTTCAACACTTCTAAACGACGTGGATTTCAAAAAAGTGAAATCAGGAATCGTTTGTCAGGGCCTGCCTTCGGTACCCATTTGACCAACATCACCATCTCGAAGATCCCTCCCCTTTCGAAATCCAATTTGCACATACTCAAGCATTTCCCCTGTCTTCCCCAGCGAACTATAGAGCTCCCAAAGGCACGTGTGACAGATTTCCATCCGCCACACCATGCATTACCGCTCTCGACTGTAAAGTTAAAACGTCGTGTCGCGGCTCCATCCTGTTTCAATAGCAGTCTGTAGAAATCCACGCTCCAGTCATCCTCATCAAGTACCTTCGTCTTAACAGCCAAAACAGTCTGCAGCCTATTAGATTCCTTCGGAGACACTCGTCTTGCCTCCACATCGCACTTAGCCCGTTCTCTCTTCCCTCGTCGACTCTTCATCTTCGGAAGCCTGCAAACGGGTTTGCGTGTGGTATTGAGTACAGGAGACCATCTTCTGATGTAAAGCATTCAAGACCTGGTAGTTCAGACGCGACGCCTACTTCAATGGGTAACAGAACGTACGATTCAGACCCATAAACATGCCACCATCTATATAGGTGAGTCTGCTTCTTGCCTCGGTTACAAGCCGAGATGTGCTCTTTCCATCGAATATCGAACCGCCGCTTAGTCTGCCCAACATATTGTGCTTTACATGATGGTGAAGACATGATATAGACACCCCTGATGTGCCCGCTGAAAGCTTCCACCCCCAATGTGCCCGTTGAACGCTTTACATGATGGTGGAGCCAACGGATCTGCCCTAGTAAGGTGAGCATAATCACTACCAAACGATACAAAATATCGACGATAGTGTCTTGCGGCAAAAAACTGCGCACACTTATGAGAGCTCTACATAGTCTCCAATACTCCTCCACTGTTCAAACATCGTTATCGTCGTCGTTACCTGCCAATTCCTCCTTATCCTCGCTCTTATACACATCTAGATGTGTATAAGAGACAGGTCGGACGTCGGACCGGACAGGGTATATCCGACCTAGCGCAAAAATTGTTTTTTTTAAAAAATAAAAAAAAAGAAAATCATGTGGCTTCCACCTTGCATTCGGTGTATGCCACCAAATTTTTGGATCATTTGGGCCAGTAGAATAAATAATAAAAATCTTTAAAGATTCATTCCCCATTTATACCCCTCCTATCCCCACCAAAACCCCTTCTACCCCCCCCTCCCCCCCCAATTACCACCCTATCAGCAAATGCTCAGAAAAATCTGAATTTTTTTGTGGGGGGTCTCTAGGCCATGCTCAACACTGTCATTTTTTTTATTATTTTTTTTTGTGCCAAAAAGGCCTCGTCCGGAAATCCGGACGACGGGGGGGAAGACGTCTGGTGGAGACGTCCGGTGGAGACGTCCGGTCTCCGGACCATTGGTAACCTAGCTTCAAATCTTCGATGTTACGGTCGCCTAACTCAGGTAGGTTATCCGTAACAAACATCAATCTCCCCATCGTGCCTGGCGATGCCGGCACCTTCTTGCCTTTCCGCTCGCTTCTCAGCGAGTTCGGTGTCTGCTTCAACGGTTGTCGTCTACAGCTTAGTAACAAGTGTTTCGGATCCAAAACATCTCGCGCTGATGCCCGCTTGGCAAGAGTTTCCATTGGCGGGCTATCTCTGAGTGGCCGCTCCACACTTCTCTTCCGCTTCTCTTTGATGGCTAACTCCTCCGTCTTCTCCCAGACTGCTTCCACATTGCTTCCTTCTGGTTCATCGCTTTCCTCTTCAAACGACGCATGCACTGACAACTTCCCTTTATCTTTCTTCTTGGTAGGTATTGCTGACGCCAAACGTTGATGCAGTTCCTCACACACGTTTCCCATGTGCATGCAAATTTCCATCCGCAAGTCCTTACGCATCGCTTCCCGATTTTCTGCTTCCAACCTTTTCTTCGCCTCCTTCTTCTTCAGTCGTCTTTCATTTGCTAACTTCTCCTCTTCCTCTCTCAAAGCCCGTTCTTTCTCCTCTCGTACGCGTTTCTCTTTCTCCATCCTCGCCCTCACTTTCTCCTCCTTCCTGCTTTGTTCGGTGTCGATAAAAGTCTTCATATCCGCAAGTGAGCTAGCTAGATCCTCAAGTTGTTTCCTAACAGTCGGATCCTCCAAAGCTGAACGTCGATCCCCACTCCTATCGTGATGAGCCGGGGACGTAGACCCTATGCGTTGAGGAAAGCATCGAGCACTGCTTTCCCCAAATAACTTAGGGCACTGGTTTGTGTAGTGCACTGGCTCGCCGCACTCATAGCACACCGGAACGAAGCGCCTTGGCTGCCCACGATAACTCCCTTGGTCGCATGCGCCCACTCGGTCATTTCGAAAGTCTCCTTGCCGTTCCCGTCGGTCATTACCTCCGTAGTCCCTGTTCCCGCCAGAACTATAACCCGAACCAAACTCCGGATGCCAATCGCGATGGCCATCACATTGGTAATCCCGGTGCGCTGCGCCCGACATCCTCACTGAACCGTACCGAAACAAACGCATGTAGCCTCTCACGCTTCCCTAGCTGCACAGTTGCTGATGACATCAACTCTTCAAACGTGAAAAAAAAAAAGACGACGAAAAAACGTAAATCTCAGTAACTCTCAGTAAAAAACTTAGAGCCAAAAAACAAAAGCGTGTTCATACTTGCTACTGAGTTGCTAGGCAACTTCCCAGCTGGTTCACACGAACCTTATCGAGTTGTGATGAAAGTGACAAACGTAGATCAGATGACCAAATGCAGAAACGTAGATCAGATGATCAAACGCAGACACGTACAAATAGTCCGGCATGTGGAAACATGCAAAACCAATTATACAGTATAGTAATCGAATACAACTCCGGCGGGTTGGCACCCCGACCGGATTCGACAGCGGCCACGCTGTCTCATCAAGGGGAACCGTCCATCATCTCCCTAGACTTCTCGTCAACTTCCACAAACCCACCTTCGTACGTAAACGCCGCTGCATAGCGGATATTATGACGTTGGACCCGGAAGAGCCGGAAAATATCAAAGGCGTATTCACAAGTACTATTTATCTACCACACGGTACCCAAAAATAGACCATAAAAAAAATTCACTTCCTCCTACTTACAACTTGCACGAAGGATTTCGACAGCCGCCACGCTGTCTAAGGCAAAAGTTCTTCACTTTATTTTTTTAGTAAGAAAAATAAAGGATTTTATTTGATGTTTATCTTAAATTTGGTAACGAATTTTGATATGACCCCAAGGCAAACGTTGTTCAATTTATTTTTGGGCATAACATATAGGTTTTTCAGAATTTTTTTTTTTTTTTTTCATGATCGAGGTCCGCGGTCGTGCCCGCAGCGACCGCGAACGTGGGGGATTCATAGCCCTCTGAAAACCCCCACCCTCCTATAAAAAAAATCACCCCTTCCCCACAAAAAAAAAAAAAAAAAACCGATCCCGCTCTCCGTGAACTCCTTGAACTCTTACGCCGTGAACTCCGTGAGCTCCACTAACTTCATGACTGGCTTCCGTGCATAGACCTCGTGAACAGTGAACGGGGGTACGACACCACCTTGAAGATATATTTTTTTCCTTGAGCCTGATAAACTGATATGAGTCAAACTTGATGGTGTCAAATCGTTCTCTCGTGACTCTGTTCCCTAATTTTGCTAACTATTTTAGTGGTTTGATGATTTTCATTTCCTTTTTCACTGATTCATCATAGCCTTCTTCTATTAAAACGGTCATCGGGTTCTTATTTACCCCCTTGGACTTGTACTTTCTCTTTCACCAGTGACTATTTTTATAAAAAGAGATGAGTCGATACAAATCTCAATTTCATTTTACCATTTTTGGCAGATTCAACAACCTTCTTCAATACATCAATTTTCCCATTATCACCTTTGAGTCGGCCAAGAGATTTCATTATTTTCGAGATCTGGTTTTGTTTTTTGTCTCTTGTTTACTATTTTCCTTGAGTTTTCTAGTTTTCTCAACAAACTTTTCCCTTCTAATTGAGTTGATTGATATTTGATGTTTAGGTTGTCTTGAAGTACAAACCATAAAGGTCTGTTTCTGACCCGTCTCGGGTCATGAAGAGCAATCCAAGATGATCCTTCATGATTGAAAAATATAGTAGCTTTCATTCTATGGAAGAATGGAGTACCCAAGATACAATCATTATCCAATTTTGAGACCATGAATCCCAACAACTCAACATCAATAGTCTCAACCTTGTTAACCAAATTATCAATGAAGCCTAACAAGAAGACAATTTCAACAATATTACTTAACATGTGCTTTGAATTTTTATCAATTGTTAGATCGCAAACCTCCACAGTCCTTAGGGAAAGAAAAATCATTTCTGTCGAGGGTCGATTAAGGCTCTGATCTCCACATGATTGATGTAGATAGGTATGTATCTACAAGTCATGGTTCCAAATCTCATTTTGCAGTTTGGCAGTGACCTATCAAGTTGACCAGTGAAGTCTGATCCCAAATAGTTGAATTTTTTCCCCCCTCTCTCTCTCTCTCTCTCTCTCTCTCTCTCTCTCTCTCTCTCTCTCTCTCTCTCTCTCTCTCTCTCTCTCTCTCTCTCTCTTTTTNCTCTCTCTCTCTCTCTCTCTCTCTCTCTTTTCCTATGTCAGCCCGTAGGCTGAGCCGGGGATCCGGGGTTTGTTGAGTTCCGGAGATATCAGCCGCGTCACGGAGACGCAAATGACCGATCTCTCCGGGTATCGAGTGAAATTACCCGTTTCGCCTGGATCCTGATCCGCGCACGAAGAGAAAGAGGGAGAGAGAAAGAGAAGGCTGGCAGTCTGGCACAAGTCCAGCGCGTACTCGCGACATCAAGAACGAAAGGGGGATAGGCAAAGGGCGAAGGGACCAACACACTCATGCATCCAACACACTCATGCATTAATGCAGAGGGTTGACACCCAACATTCGCCACCAACACGCCTGCCAGTGCGCGCACACACACACACACACACACACACACATCAAGCTCCTCTGGACAATGAGACATTCAATTCATCCATAAACTCTCGTCCCACCGCATGCATACGACATAATACCCATGCATCGGGACCATGCACGCATCACATGGAGTCTCAGACAAAGCAGCAATGGATATAAACGCGAGTCCTTGATACACAGACTTTCTCACATGATTGGTCGCCCACAGCCCGGCACCCAATCCCTCGGAACCTCCGACAACCACAGCCACAAGGCCCTGCCGCTGCCGGCATCCGGTCTCCACCACCGCTCAGTCCCTCCGACTGTCTTACCCCAATTCTATCGCTAAACCCGTCCCACGTCGTCACTCCGCCCTTCACTTGGGTTCGTCAAGCTTTTTCGACGCCACAGACCTAGAACATTGCTCGCGCAGCTTGCAGCCGAGCTCAAAGAGAGGGAGAGGAAGGGGTCGCGAGAATTTATAGCGCGGAAGGCGGCGCGGAGCCAGCGCGAGGCGCGGGTAGCATGGGGTGTAGATGAGCGGGGCAGAAGAAGGGCCGAAGTTCCGGAAGGATAGAAGGAGGCAAGTTGAACGATCTGTGGGATTGGGGTGGTCGTTTAAGTGGTACGCGCCTTCCTCTTTTTCCACATTGATCCGACCATCCCAATTACACAGCTTATCCCTTCGCGATGATGGGTAAGGAGAGGATAGGACTTTGCTCAGGGGACGATGAAGAGGAATGCAAGAAGGAAACTTGCGGCAAGAAGGGAAGATGGCGCAGGGATGCAAAGCGGGGGAGCAGGTTTACATGGCGCGCAAAAAATTCAAAATTCCTATTCGCACTAATTCCTAACTCTTTCTCGGATTTCTTGGTTCGGTCGCTAACTAGCCACGCGAGAAAGACATCAGGGGCAGTCCCCGAAAGGAAAAATATTTTTCTGTTCCGTCCCTCTTCTCTGCTCAAGAAAACAAAAAAAAGAAAAAAAGTAAACCCCGTTCTTCCCAATCACCTAGAACCCGTACTTCAAGGCTTTACGTGGGATTTTTCTCCTGAGGGTACGAGAAGCCGCTGAGTACGGATCCTGGCTTATCACAGGTTTTCCCGGTCCCCAATGCCTGATCACCCCGCACCATAGTGATGAGGGACTGATACCAGCCTTGCTCTTGCACCGCTGCTGTGGTGCCAAGTTGCCAACCTACCCCATGGGCTGGGGAGACTTGCAGGTTTCGTTGCTGTTCTCCCGTACTATACATTCAGTAGCCTGAGGATGAGATAGATGAGGAAAAATGTATAAAAAAGAAGGTTGAGAGAAGAAACTAGTTTAGTGTAAAAAAAAAACAAGGTAGGGGCCGAACCGCCGTTGATAATTTCCACCAATGGCCCTTGGCGCGATGTAAGGCCATGTACCACCAGGTCCACCACCGCCCCTCCCAGGCACATTTTCGTACCTTTGAGTCTTTGACCGCCAACTCGGCCTTCGGGAGCTCCTCCTCCTAGACCTCTTTGGCTCGCACCACCAGCCAAAAGGACCAAAAGGAACAAAAAAGGACTGCCACGCCTTTACATTGTGAGCTTGGTGCGCAGGCCCGGAGGTAGTGGTTGTATTGCAAAAAAAAAAAAAAAAAAGTTGATATTCATCGTATTTCACTGGGATTGAATTTTGAATTCATGGGCGAGGAGGAGGAGGAGCATCTGTCTTTAGGTGTTTTGTTTTTTGTTTTTTCTTTGCAGGGAAATATTGGGGATTTTTTTTTTTTTTTTTTTTTTAATGAAGGATCTAAAGAGCTGACAGCCAGTCATATCTTTGAACTCCCTGCTCCAAACAGAGAGGGTCTTGTTTGACATATTGGGTCTCGCTGCACTACTCTCCACTCTCCGGGAAATAGGAGAGTACGCGGAGAGTGGTCAGACTCTCCGATTTTCCGGATTATGGGTCATCGCTGCACTAACTCTACAAACGCAGACTCTACAACTATCGAGGGTACAAAAAGACAGCTCAAAGTCCCCGTTTGTCTGCCCAGACTCAAGGTTAAATCTCCAGATTTGGAGCAAATCGGTGTTTCCTTCGAAGGTCTCTCCGCGTAACGGATTTTGCAGGCTGGGCACTCTCCGACGGCGGAGAGTGCAATTCTTTTGTGGGTTCTAAAGTAGAGTTAGTGCAGCGATGCATAACTCTCCGAATTTTCGCGAAGTAGAGTAGTGCAGCGAGACCCATTATCTACAAATCCGAGAAACCATGTTTTTTGTCATTCCACACGGTCCTTTTTTTTTTTAACCACTAGTACGTTTGCCTCTTCAGGAATGAGGGAAAACGCCAGTTCCCGAAGAATTCGGAGGGCGGGCCCGAAGACGGCTGCCATTGACAAATCTGCCTCCTGAAAGGTCAGAGGCGCGCTATTTTCCGAAATGACAAAGGTACCAGTGGTTTAAGCCCAGGTTGTTGTAGAAGCTGGATTCTAGACATATGACTCCGGTCCCTTCCCTACCTCACTATCATTCTCCCCAGTGCACCCTCTAGGGCCTCTACACCCCAGTCATGCCTCAGTACAAGGACTACGATGCCAACCATCTGCCCACGGTGGCCGGGTGTCCTAATGACCAGTCCGAAGGAGCAAATGAGGATGAATGTGAAAACATTTCTACATTTTGTCCTACAGTATACAGGA